TCTATTTATGACCTCATATTTATAATAATAATAAAATGTAACTGTCAATACAAAGCAAACATTTGGTACTTTTTCTGTGCTTTGCTCTACTTAAAATGAACGCAATCTTGTCTACTTTAGGCAGCAGAAATATATTCTGTTCTTTGCATATTATTTTATAGGACAATGAAGAACATTACAACTCAAAGCACCCAATCAGAAATCCTATTTCACAAGATAACCAATACTATACTAAGACCTAGAATATGTTTGCTATGGAATACTGCACAGCAATACTTAAAGTGACACTAAACTCAGAAGTTAAATCCTAAAAATACATCCAAGTACCTTAACTATTAACAAAAATGTAGCTTATTTGTAAGTTACTCGGCTGTAGATCCTCAAATCATCTCTGAATTGGTGCTGACACTGTCCTTCCTTCTGGAAGGTGGCTACGTTTGTTCTCCCTGGTCCCTGTGTGTGTTGTAAAGTAGCCACCGCTCCAGTCTGTGATGGACTACAATCTCAATACAAATTAGTAAGCTAAACATGAGATTGTAGTCTATCACAGGAGTGAGCTTGGAGCGGTGGTTGCTTTACAACACACGCAAGGACCTTGGGGAACAAAAGTAGCCACCCTCCAGAAGGAAGGACAGTGCCAGCACCAATTCAGAGATGATTTGAGGCTCTACAGCCGAGTGATACACAAATACGATACATGTTTGTTAATAGTTAAGGTACTTAAATGCATTTTAAGATTTAACTTCACAGTTTAGTGTCACATGAAATTATTTTTTTATCATTATTTTACTTCAGTCCTTTTTATGCTGGTCCAGAATACCATTTAACAAAAACACCTGATCAGAGAAAAATAAATAATATTTAAAAATGTGTGCTGTTCTGTTGTATGGCATTCTTATGCCATACATTCTTATTCTTTTGTGTACAAAAGAATACTTTGCATCACCCCCATACCCAGGGGCTGACTGGCAACTTTTAGCCCAGGGGGCAAACCTAAGTCTATTAACTAAAGCCATATAACCATACACAGCCACCTGTTGCAAAAATTGTCCATCCACACTGCGATTTAGAACAATGCTGAGAATGTCGAGAGTTAAAAAAATATATATTATTGGGTGAAGTATTTTAGTACATGACTGCGTTTTACCAGGGTGTTAGTTTATAGAAGAGGAGTGAGCTAGTGAGCTGAATATTTCCAAACAACACACTTGTTACTCCAAACATCACACACTTCTGGAACGTATATATAACCACATAATAAAAGCTTTACATTGTGAATAGAAATGTGTTTTGCGGTCAGTGTGGGTGTTCTCAAGGCTACGCACATCTTTCATTGACTGTATTGAAGACATTATGCTGAAAACTGCTGTACAACATTAAAGCACGACAAACACATTACACCTTTTAAACTGTGTGCTTTCAGTGGAATTTTCTGCCCTTCTGGGCGTCCATGCTTTAGGCAGCTGTTCTCATGAAAGCGACTTCAGCTCTGTGAAAGTGGTGAGGTCTTTTGAATTGTTTCACCTTCACAAATCCTCATTGGTAACTGATAAGTTGTTTAAAGAAGGAGAATAGAAAAAAATTGATTTATACCCAGGCAGCTTGGATATATTTACTTTTGGCATAATTTTGGATCTTTGGTGATTTGGGCATAATTCTTACTAGTATGTTTAAATTTTGAGACATTGCTGCTTTGATAATTAACTCAGGCTAAATTGAAAAGCCTGTCAAAATAATAATACTTTAATACAAAGTAATACAAAATAAAAGTAATGATGTTAAAGTTTGCTATGGACAGCATTTGCTTTTAGTACTGCCAATTTTATAGTATATTTCTTTCATTCTTATTCATTTGGTAATCTAATGCTGTTCAAATGTATTGTATTGTATTTATGACTCAAACAAGTGACAAAGTATTATTAGGGCAAAGATTTAGGCATAACATTTTTGCAGTGTTTATGTGGGTTATACCATTAATACTATATGCTTTGCCGAGGAAATGATAAGAAAAGCCACAATATTTATTTTCACTTTACATTGTCATTAGTTATTAAGTGCTCTGAATGAAACGTTACAAGATAAATGAAAAAACACTCTTTGCTCTTTGTTCCTAAACCTTATATGAAAATCACATTACTGTGTCAAATCGAATCTAATATCCAATTTATCCATCGACACTATGGGGTCAATGGATTTAGCATTCCTGTAGTCTGCCTCCTCCATATCCTCTTAGATACTCAATACAAAACATCCTTCTCGCCCACACACACAACAGCCCAAGTAGAAGTACTGCAATGGGAGGTCTGGCCTTTCAGGTATGACATTATGAGACCACCCTACTAGTTTACTTGAATGTAAGAACAAAGTCAAGGTCAATTAAGATGTTTTTTTGTAATCAGATCCCAACGGTTGACAGAATTCGCTGCAAGCACCAGAGACATTCAGAGAGTGACATTAAGACCAACCAGCAAACTGAGTAAATCCTGTGTTCATGTTCACTGTAGATCTATAGGTCAGAGTTATAAGCCATGGTGTCCATTAGTCACAGTGCAGGTTCAAACAATCTACCTCCCTGTCTTCTTTTCAATCATTTCGTAGGCTAACACAACTATGGGCTTTCTGGCCATTTTTTCCAAATTAATTTTGAGTTATTTCTCTGTGTTTACGTTCTTTTCTAGAAGAATGCTATGCTGTCCATCTATTTCTAAACGTTTACTCTGGCTGTAAACACAGCCATTTTGGGACCTGCATGTCTGTTGGCCATTATAATCAGAGAGAGCTAAGCTTCATTTATATACACATACAAGGTGCTCTGTATATCACTGCATTCCTGCCATTCAACTACGCAAAAGATCCTGCAAGACAAAAAGATGTCTTGGATTCTTATATTGATCTTTTCAGTTTTATGTTATGAAAGGAATAGGTTGACATGATACATATACAATATGTGTATGTATGTATATATACTGTATGTATGTTTTTATATCTTCAATTATATCCTAATTGCTGTTTTAATGGAATGAACCCTAACAACCTAATTTAGTTAGCTCAGTGGGAAGATCTGTTTAAATCATGCATCCTATTTTATATCTACATATACACAACATTTACAAGTGTTAACAGCTCATTTGTAATCCCATTCAAATACTCATTTAGAGTGCACTGTCAGTGTCCTTCCACACATCCAAATAGGTTACCATAAATAATAAGCCTTAACAGCAGTTATAAGTTATAACATATCAACTTTTATTTGTATTTATTTTATAAAAAAAACAACTCAAAGGGAGTTGAATGCTTTTATTTCCTACACTACCTAAAAACAACAGTAAGATGCGCAATGGATATGCAATGGCTACTTATCAAAAATATATTTGTGTTTTATTCCTAACCGAACGTGCTGACAGCATTAGGCAATATTATATTTGCATAGCATATACGGATGGTCTATCTAGCCAATTCTTTAATGGAAATGTACTTCTGTCACTTGTAGTATGGTAGTGTACATATAAGACTCATATCCATGTCAAATTTTGTCTTTATGTGAATAACTCAGTAATAGTCAGTTCAACACCCAACTCAGAGGATGTCCTTTGGTATTCTCCTCCAATGATTCAAACTGAGAAGCATGATACCCATTTTAATCTGCTCAGCAGTCAGGAGGAGAAATAGCTTAGGTCATAAATCAAGCCAACCCAGTTACCCTGTTGCCCAATAAAAGAAGGTGTACAGTGCTGAAAGTAGTGTTTCTCTTAAATCATGCCTACAAATGTATCCAAGCTCTTAAAAAGAGCTCTTAGATGCAGGTTTTGCCCAGTTTCTATAGTTCTTTCTATTAAAGAGGCAGTGCAAGGATATATGTTTATATGCAAAGTACAGTAACCCATAGCAAACAATCAGGAATAATTTTCCATTGATCTGGGAATTGGCTGCACTTTGCTTGAAATCCCTGATTTTCTTTAAGGTGCACTTATAGGCAAAACATTTTTGTAATCCATTTCTGTCACCGTAAAATTCAACATTGACCGGAGTCACCAGTGATAAGGGTAAATCTTCCATTGAGGCACCTGTTTCGGTGGTAACTGTCTAAAATGGGAATGCTCCTCTCTTTGAAGAGATTTCCTCTCACTTCCTGTTGCATTTCCGGGGTAGGAAGTTAAGGGAAATCTCCCCAAAGGGACATAGACGGCAAACAATAACCTGGCAGAGGTTTTAATCTTTCCCTACTCTAACCAAAATGAAAAACAAATGTTAAGGCTATACATACAATTAAAAAATACATGATAAAACTACACTTAGAGTCTTGTAGGGATGAATAAATCAAGAATAAATCTTGCCTTCCTTGGAGAAAATGCAGTCATAGGGGGTATAAGTCAGTGTGAGTACTGAGCCTTTTTTTCTGCAGCAGAGATAATGTGACCATGTGCCTAGTCCTTTAGGTATGGGATCAGTACTGGAGAGAACCTTGAGGGAAGGTAAGCATTTCCATCATGACTGTTACCATAGCTTTATTTTGGGATTCGAGTAAAGGTGTTTTAATTAGAATACCTGTACATGATAAGCTTTATAGAAATCATACTATCAATAAGTGTTAATGTCAATAAAAACCCTTGCTTTCACATACAGAACATGTGTATTTGCTCATGGGAGAGCCATACTTCCACACTTTATAAGCATGCTTAAAATGGCTTCACAAAGATTATGCTCTTCTGTCTTTTCTTTTCCCTCCCTACAAGTCTATCAGTCTCTTCAGAATTACTAAAAGCAATACCTTCTCAATGAGGCCATAACGGTATCTCAGGAGTTGTCGGCCAAGGTGGCTCACACAAAAAATTTGAAAAGTCAAATATAAAATTAAAACTTTAACCACTTAAAATTTGTGCTTGCTCAAAATACACTCTTTAGAAGTATGTCATGTTTTGTAAAAATGTTATGAGACTCAAACAGATAAGAAAATAAGAACAAATAATTTTAATATGAAAGAAGTGTAAAATAAACCTTACCTTTTAGGGTCAATAATCTTGTAGAGTTTTCCACTATGTGACTGAGTCATACTTTTACTGCTTGACAGAATGTAGACTTCACCTGTTAGAAGAAGCCAATATAGTACAGGGGTTACGCACACCATTTTATGACATACCAGAGATGCTTGTCAGATGTCAGATTTAGGTTAGTTTGGTATAAGTCATAGTTATGAGCTCTCCAGCCTACAATGCAGTGCAAGCCCTTTAGCTTTATGTATGAAAGTTTTTTCCTGGGCTGTCAATACTAAAGTAGTAGGCAAACCCACATGAACAATGTACATTCTGACAATCGATTAATGCCTGGAATATTGTTCTGCTTCTTTACATCAGCTCTTGACTGCCGTAGTGGAGCTAGTCTTGCCAATAATGTGCCAGTATCCAGCTGATGTGAGGTGGCACCCCATGGCCACTAGGCTTCTTCCCGTTCCAACTTTATCTAGCTGGTACAGAAAGTTGTATCACCAGAAGCACAGGAAGTGTATGAAAAACAACTTCTGCCCGCATCTGTTCATACACAAGGATTCACATAAAACATATGCAGTGGGAAAATATGCTACTCCTATTATGTACATAAGTCTTCTGTTGCCTACCTAAATAAACTATTTTTCCCATCTAATATTTGGCATTGGAAGATCTGTATGTATTTCTGTCTGCAACAAATGTATCCCGTACTACCACGTTATAAATGCCCAAAAAATCGAAATACATTTCTTCTAATCTCCAACAAGACTATCGCCTCTTTCAGTTATTTGGTTTGGAAAATGCTACCAGCTTTTCAGTTACATAGGTGTCTATCTGGTTATATGCAGGGTCTTTTTGGGCCATGTTTCATGTTACCTCTATATTTAGGGTATAACATAAAATATGGCAACACTCCACAGCTCCCAACCCCCATACCCCTTTCTTCTCCCCGCAAGTCCTACTCCTTTGCCTGCCAAGAACTGTGAATGAAAAGACTACGAGTCCCTCTGCTGCAGTGACATCACCGCACTTGTAGTCCATTGACAACTTCCTACTGCTGTAACTGAAGGTCCATACCTCGGTAACAACCTGGTCTGGGGGAACTGTCTGCAGGAGCCTGTGTGTTGCACCTGAGATACACTGATTGTGGTTGCAATGCTTTGCAGGCTCTAATGCAAACAACTAATAATTGATCCCCTTTTTTTCATTGTGGATGCATTTATGAATTAGCTATAAAGCTTTACATTTTACTTTGTTACAATTATTTTGAATGAACACTAAGGTCAGTTTTCTACAAGAGTTCTGCAAATCTTGCTAGTGGTTCTTCCTATTCAACAAAACAATGTCTCAAATTTATTTTGGATAGTGCGGGTGCTGAAGAAAATCCCTGTGAGTTTATTTTTTCACCTGTGTTCTATTAGGAAAATTTTCCTTCACTTTTTTGCCCCAGGTCCATAACAGGAAGTAAAAGAAGATCTATAAAAAGTGATGAGAAATTCCTGGTTACACAGTGGTTACTGAACTAGGTGTCCTCATCCCTGTTCCAGTGACAACTGTAACTTTGTGGATTTTTCATTAATTTCTCTTCTGGTGACAATGGTCAAAAAGACAAATGGAAAAGGTGACCCAGCCCACAGGGGAGATAGACAGTAATAAATACCTGATGACGGTTTAAAAACTTTCACACTCTAAACAAAATAAAAAGTAAAAGGTTTGGCTTCAGATGTACTTTGAAGCTGGATCTAAGGAAGTGTTAATGGAAATTAAAAAAACAAACATTGTTTTAACATAGTTCATTGATTTACCTAATTCATCTTCTCCAAATCCCTGTATATGACCCGTGAAGGGTCCTCTGCAAGATGCTCCGATGCCGAGACAAAATGGTTTCTCTTGCCACTGTTTCATGATGGAGTTTTTATTGAGTGTTACAAAGTTTCTGAAATGATACATTCATTACTTAGTTTTATTTCTAAACACTTTTTAAAATAATTTTGCCACTATCTGTAGCAATTTACTTGTTCCCGAACAATGCATGCGTCAAGCTCTATTCTCTAGCAAAATGGCAAATCCTGCCTTAGAGAGTTTTTTACCAGAACAAGTGTCCCTATTTTCCTATTTCTACACAGTGGAAGGAAGATTCCAATCACAAACAAGTATGATACTCTATATAGATATATCAGTGGTGGGTCTGCTATAACTACACGCTAAAACAAGCTTTAGAGCAAGAAAATGTCTATATAATCATCTTTTATAAGCCATAAAAGGAAAACAACATTTATGAGTTCACGTTGGTTTAAAGTAAAGCTGTCATCCGGGAGCTGTCATTACTGTCCCTTTAGAAGAGGTAGCTGTCTGGCTGCTGCTTTGCTTATGCAGTTTAGGAAAGTCAGAGAAAAGTCCTTGTTCTGGTTCCTGAAGCAGGAGGATACACATAACAACCAGGCAACTTTCATTTTCACATGAAAAGTTTAGCAATGCCAGTCTGTGTTTCCCTTAATGAGAGGTTTCCTTAAGAGCTGATTCACACCAAATGCATTGAGCTGCTTTTTCCAGCGCAGCCCAAACGCAAGTCAAGGCAATTTGCCTTGTTACAGGCAGGCACAGTTTACACCACCTACAACCACATCACATGCGCTGTGTTCATAGAACTTCATGAAATGTTACTTATGAAATTTCAATAAAGACCTACAAAAAAAAGGTAAATAGTGTGATGGGCCAGGATTGGCGCATCAGCACTGTGACTTCAAATGTACACCAGCGGCTGTGCATTGTAATGTGAATCCATCCTAAATGAACATACAGTACACAGAAAGCGAAATGTTACAGAAACAAAAAATATCTTCATTTGTAACAGCCTTAGTATGCGTATAAATTAGCACCTTTATTTACTATTTCCTGTCCAGGGGTAATTGAAACCTGATGCCCAGGCCAAATTTAGTAACATCAGTAAGCATTGGTTAATTTGACTATAATGCTATATAATAATTGCATACCTAAATAATTGTGAATATTTTTAAGGTAGTATAAAATAGAATTTTCATTATTTAGACAATTATAATATTAAACAGGAATACTGCAATCTATCTGTATGCTGAAATGACCTCTGTGAAATGAAACATTTTGTTTTCTGAATGAAACCTTCAGCTTGCATAGTGAACCTCACTGGTTCCTGATAATTCGTGGGCCAAAGCTGTAAGTGACAGTTGGGTTTGGCAGCTTGCAGCAATGCACAGTCTCAGCTCGTAGATTTACATATTCTCAGCATGAGGCAATGTGCAGATAAATAATATAGCTGAATTCTGGGGAAAATCCCAAAATACCCATGCAGTGGCGCTACCCCACACTGCACAGATTAAATGCTCATTTTGGTTCAGACTACCATTAAAAGCAGAATTACGTACCTTATCCTTTGCTTTTGCAGACGTAATCATCTGCATGCCCCCACTCCCCTAAGGCCACTTCTCTTTGGTGCTCTGTTGGTTGCAGGCACTCTGACATCATCACGTCCAATACAGGATCAACAGCCCTGCATTGGAAGTTAGGATACCAACTTCTTGCCCACAACCTGGAGCAATGGAGCAAAGTGGAGAGTGCCAGCTGCCAGGGGAGCAAGAGATAAGGCAAGTAAAACTGCATTTTAATGGTACCTTAGACAAAAATAAACATTTAACATTAATCCTTGCAGCTGGGGAGGAGCTTTAAAATGTCCCGGCTCAGCTTTCACCTACATATTACAGGTAAAAGGGGGTTGAAGGTAATATATAGTGATTTTGTACATATTTTCTCTCTTTGGTTATGGTCAGGACTAAAAAAATAATGAGCACTACAAACTTTTTTTAATAAAGTAAATATAAAGTGTTGCATGTTAATATAGCAAACTTTTATATCCAGCCAGCAGACGGAGCTCTAATCTCTTTTACATATTTAGCTATTTTATCTTTCAGCTGTTCCCCATGTATACAGAACTTGCCATCACAGCAGTGACCTATCCCTCATGCTAAAGTTGAAGTATTAAATCAAATGAAGCCACAGAGTCAGCTGCTTTGATGTCTATTTTGCTAACCCAAAGTGCTCTGGGGTTCCTTTGTTGTGTAATAAAGGTATATTTATATATTGTCCCTTTAAGTCACCAAATGTATGATATTAGCAGTGACAGTTAATTTCTTTCTTTTTCTGACCTAATATGCACCATTCATTTTGCATACACTTTAGCACCAACAGAGTTAATTTATATCCTAGCTTTCTGAATGAATCCAATTCCACAATCTTGCTATATATTAGACCCATGAAAGCCAACAACAGACTATGAAAATACTATCAGAAATGGAAAATAAATAAATAAATAAAACAATTATAACATACCCGTAGCGATCACCAAACACGTAGCTCCCATACAGCCTTTCTGACTGACATCCTCTGTATATAAAACCACCAACTGTTTGCCCACTGCTCAAAGGCTTGAATTCTAAAAGTGAAGGCTCACTTTCTGGAAAGGAAAAGGAACTGTTGTAGCATTAGGCCAAAACAGTACAAATGAAGGCTATAATATTACAGAAGTAGGCCATAACAGTACAGAAGTAGGACAGATCAGTAAAAGTAGTATAAAGAAATGTTGTAGATCTTGTAATATCCTTGCATAATACTACTGGTTTTCTATAGCTAAATCAAAATATATTTCACACAACCAAAATCTTTTTTTGGGGTCAATATTAGATGGTGAAAATGGCTAATAAGTAAATTAACAGTATTCTTTAGAGCATTGGGTTATCAATCTCAAGATCTAACAATTCAACTTCTATCCATCCATAGTGGCAGCCTGCTGTTATAGAGACAACAAGTTAGGGTGAATCTCCCCAAAGGAAACACCAAAAATTAACTTGAGTGTGAATTTGGCAGAACTAAAGCTGGCCATACACTGTAGTATTTTCTTCATTCAACCTGGGGCTGAACAAAGAAAATATAACAGATTCCTCCATCAACACTTACGAGCTTTGATCAAGGAATCTCCCTCTGTCCTCATCAGATTGGATGTCTGCTCAGTTCGTCTGAACATTTTCCGACTGGCTCCTTCAATCAGCTGATAGAGGAATGCCGGCTGAAAGGGTGCTGACAGCAGCACCCACTGTGTGGATGTCACATTGTGTATGGCCCGCTTAAAGTGACATTAAACCCTCAGATTTTGTAACATCCACTCCACAACTCTCCCCCTCAGTGTCCTTGCGTGTCACTAATCTACTAAATGACATATCAGTCTGGATGTCACAACATTTCTTAAAACTCAACCTTTCAAAAACTGAGCTCATGATATTTCCTCCACCCCGTGCACCTTCCCCCAACATTTCAGTTGTGATTGATAACACAACTATCCAACCCTCCCCTCATGCCAAGGTCCTAGGTGTCATCCTTGACTCGGACCTCACCTTTCTTCCCCACATCCAAATCGCTATCCAAAGCCTGATGCCTTCGCCTCCGTAACATCTCCAAAATACGCCCCTTCCTCACCAATTACACCGCAAAACTACTCATACACTCCCTTGTTATCTCTCGTCTTGACTATTGTAACTCCCTCCTCATTGGCCTTCCACTACACAGGATATCCCTCCTTCAGTCTATCATGAATGCAGCTGCCAGACTCATAAAGATATAAGGATTTAAAAGGAAGAGCAGCAAAGAGAAGGGAAACAACCATGGATTACAGTAAGGCACACATTACAGTATTGGTTTATGTTAAAAACTCTGAGGGTTTAATGTCACTTTAAGAGCTGATCAGGCTATGCTGCACTGCAAACAGTGTTTCAAATACTGGCAACTGGAAGAGTTGGTTAGGTTGGCTTACAGGAGTAAGACAGGGCAATGAGGGTGTCATCAGCTGGGTGAGGGTCATCTACTTTTAAAAAGAGCAAACTCAAGGTGGAAATGTGATACAGAAGCTGGAAATCTTGCAAACTTATTGTGTCAGGGATATGTCAGTCATAAAAATGTTTGAACAGAAATACAAGTACTTTATCAGGTAAAATGCATTTGTCTATAAATTGTAGATGTAACTGTTTGGATGAAGGTCTGCTTTTAAGTAACATTATCAAAGAACAACAGTAATTACTTTACCTGTCATTTCGTAAATCAAACAGGAAAACATTGGTGAGAATTTATCAAAACTGGAGACAGACTCTGGAGCAGTTGCCCATGGCAACCAATCAGCTTCTCTCTTCAGTTTGCTTAGGTAAGATTTGAAAATGAGACAGAGAAGTTGATTGGCTGCAGTGCAAATCTTCTCCAGATTTTGTCTGCTCCAGTTTTGATAAATTCCCCCCATTCAGTTACTAAACTTTGGCTTATAGGTAAAACAGCCAATGAGGTCAATTGTTATTTTTTTTTAAATTCCCATTAACCCAGCTGGCTGTTTGAAGTGAAAACCAATTTGTAGGGCTAACTCCAAATCATGTCATGATTGCAAATAGATACCCATATTGCAAATATTCGTTTTTAAAAGAGTGCATCAGCCAGGACATTCTTTTGTAATGTCAAAGTTAAAACATTTTGCCAGCAATATAAATAAGGAGAACTTAATATATAACTAACTTAATAGATACCGAGTATTTGGCCGAGTATTTGTACTCTCCCAAATGCTCTCAATACTTATCTCGATACTGGAACTTCCGGTATCAGGATGCCGGCAAGTCATTACACGCTGCCCGACTTCCTGATTGGCCGGGAACGCAGCTCTATGCTCCCTCATCACCAGGAAGTACGGAGCTGCCTTCCCGGCCAATTAGTAAGCCGAGGGGTGGGTAATGATTGACCGCCCAGCTTCCTGATTGGTTGGGAAGCTGGCCAATCAGAAAGCCGGGCAGCGAGACATTACACACCAACGATTCCTTAATGTAACTTCCAGGTATCTGTACTCTGTATCGGCGAGTACTGGAAAAATATCGGTACTCGTACTTAATACCGAAAAACCGGTATTGGTGCATGCCTACTTAATACACATTCATTTGTTCTGCGGTATGTATCATTATGTGTGCAAAAACATATTAACAATCCTATGGAAACAGCCAAGATCACAGTATAGCCTACCATAATCCTTTCCTTTAATGATTGGCAAAACCCTGACATTTGTCCTGTTCTTGGTGCTTGAATCTGAACACAGGATTGTTACATTCATACTGCTGTCTTTACTATGACGGTCAACAGCACATCTATATGATAAAACAGAAAAGCAAATAAATTATTTTTTATTTTCCCTACAATCAGTTTTAACCGACTGTCTTTCATAAGAGTCATCAGAGTCTCCCCTTACATCACAGTCCCCAGAGTACCCCCTTACATCAGAATATTCAGAGTCTCCCCTTATATTAGCTTTGTCAGAGACTCCCTTTACATCAGAGTCCTAAGGACAGAAGATGTAACGGGGGACTCTGATGTAAGGGGAATTCTGTAGACTCTGATGTACTCTTACATCAGGCTCCCCAGAGTTTCCCCTTATGTGTCCTTGCAGACAGTAGTTTACTTGGTTGGGATGGGCGGCTGACTGAGAGGGGTGGGCAGCAGGAATATATGCAGAGTTGAATGCTGGGAAGGACAGTTACTGTGGAGGCAGCACAATATTGGCTCATTTCTAGGATGCTCGGTGGTCCAAGCAACCAACCACCAGTGGGTTTAATCAACCCACTGTAATTATTTAACTTCCTGGCTGCTGGTGGTAGGTTGCTAATACACTAAGCGATCCTAGCAACAGCTGGGGATGAATAATGACAGCGGCAGTGACTGCTGCTGTTATTATTCATCCCTCGCTCCTGCTGGTTAGTGAAACTGCTGGGCAGTCTGCTGTCAACATTGGTTAGCAAACTTTTGCTGACCTTCAGAGCGGTGCTCCCTCCTTCAAGTGGTGCCCAGGGCATGTGTCATGCCCTGGATTCGCCACTGCCACGCTGTGCCTGGTTTCAATTTCAGTAACTGTCCCGGAACACAATAGATCATACAAATCAAGAAAGTCAAAGTGATGTTAAAGCTCCTAGTCTTCATATCTGTTCTAGATCACTAAGAGCCCATTCAGACCTGTCTGTTCTTATGCTTTGCCTTAAAGTGGCATTAAAGTCAGCATTTTTCCCCCATTGTAATTGTGCTGTAAGGACTTACCTTAAGTGAAGCCTCTTGATCCCATCATCTTCCTTTCACTTGTTTCCAATGCTGGTGCCGGTCTCTGATCCAGCGCTGACTGCTGTGTCTTCTATGTCCCATGGTGTCTGGCCGACGTGCACACTCCCGGTTGCATGCATTGACTTACACTGTATTTCTCCTCTTCTCCCCGCGGAAGATCGCTACTGCACATGCGCCCGCCCCATCATCCTTCATGGCCAATCGAGAAGCTCCAGAACTTTAGACAGGAGCGAACGGCGGAGACACAGGTTTAATTTTTTTAATGTTTTTGCATATACAGTATCTACTGCTTGCTAGCGTAGATATATGCAAAAAAAACCTAGAGTTGAATTATACTTTATTGCACATTACCACAACACATTGCATCAAAAAATATGTATTTTGGCCCCCCTTAGGCTCCATTCATTCACACATACCGATTGGAAAATCAGTGTTTTCCGCCCATTCGTCCACGCGGCACGAAACGCGCATTTTAATATACGGGCAGATTCCGCATGTTTGCGGCTACTACTATAACTGTAACTCACAGAATCCGCTTGGAAGTTTTGGCGTGATGCGTGTTTTTGTGCCACAGACATCGTGCTGGTGTGAACAAGGTATATCGTAATATATTGTTTTTTATGTTTTGCACGGTTGTGCAAGTATAAAACCTCCAATGTGTGAATAGAGCCTCAGGATGATATACTAATGGAGTAGAGACTGTTCACTATGTAAATGGAATGTTCACTTAGCTTAGAAAATAACATAAGGGCTGTTTTTAATTTGAATACCCAATTATGTGCAAAGAAAATTAAAATACCTAGAATCTTGCTAGCACCCAATTATGTGACTAAAGTGAAATCAGTTTAATCTTAAACTAACTTAACATTAATATTGCTAAGTGAGCAGCCTTTACTTCTAAAGTACATCAACCCCAATGATTTAGAAAGTACGGAGGCCAGTGAGGTTGATTTACTAAAGGAATAGAGACTGTTCACTTAGCAAAGTAAATGTTTACTGCACTTAGTAAATGAGATTAAGCTGAATTCACTTTAACCAGTCAATCTTTTGCAAGCATGAATCCAGTTTTTTTAAATTTCCCTTGCACATGACTGAATATGCAAAAAGTGAACACTGCTTTACCTAATTAATGATCATTCACTTGACACAGTAAACATTTACTTTTATTAACTGAAGCAAAGAAAAAATGGAGAGAGAAGCACCCTGCCCAAAACCACCACCCCCAACCCCCTTGGCGAGCGCTGTATCCTTTGACTTTGTCCCCCACAAACTTTCACTTTTACTAACTGAACAGTCTCTATTGCTTAACTAAATTAACCCCACTGGATCAGGTAACTAGCATTTTTAGGAGCAGAGGTTGATCATGACAGCCTCCATATTCACTTAGTACAACTTTCCTTTAGATTTGTAATGTATGATTTATGTTGGGCCCTTTACTGATTTGCAGCAAGTTCTAGTAGCTTTTAGTTACACTCAGATCACCAATTGTTGGTGACATTTATGGAGCATATCACAACAAAGGTAAACATAGCATGTATGCAACTTCAGCACTCTCCATACTTTACTTTTTGAAATGTTAAAAAGATAAAACAATGACGGTAGCAATGACATTAACAATGACAATATACTGGCTTACCTGCCTGGGTTATGTAGGCCATGGGCATATATCTCTGGCGGCTGATTTGTGCTATTAAAATGTGGGTTGCTTCTAGGTATGGAATAAAGAGCGCTGCACCCATCAACATCAACATCTAGCCTCAGTACGGATCCTGTAAAGTCACTAAAAGAGTAAAAGAAAAAGGTAGACAAGGAATGTTTCATGAGCAACGCAAAATGTCAAATAATTGAGAGTTAGCTGTTTAAGAGTCTGGAGATGTGCTATTCCTATGTAAAGTAAAGAACATGTACAATGTAGGCTAATAGAATCAAACTATAGACTCATAACAGGCTTCATATAAATACTTAAAGTAAAACTTCAGCCACAATTTATATTTTTTAGCTTTAATAAACTGATAAATGAGTGGAAATGGTGTCAGGTATGTTCTTCTCTTTTTGGCCCTGTTGGGGAGTTTTCCTATCCTGGTTAGAATATTCTTACTACAACAGGAAGTTCTAGTTGTGCTAGAACTTGTGCTATCCACCTGATCTACTGCAGGAGTATAAGTGTCGTAGCTGGGTGTCTACATACACCAGGCTCTAGGCTCCTGCCTAGTTTGCTTGAATTCACATGAGTATATGCATTATGATATGTCTGATCTGTGGAGAATCCAGAAATCCAGACAGTGGTGATTAGATTGTATGATTCACTGGGGACAAACCTTTAACATATATTCAGATAAACTAAAACATTAGTTGTTGAGTCTGATGATTTTATCCATATGATCAATATCCCAAATCTGCTCAGCTTTTCCCATATAACTGTGCTGACTCTCTTTCTGCAGATTATTGGAGTGTTGGTGCTGGGTCCCCAGAATGGGTCTACTTCCTTGAGATGGTGGAGTTGTCTTGTAGGTGTACAATGACTCTGGGCAGGTGGCTTGCATTTACAAAAATATTACTGAAAGTGCTTCAGATTGGAAGTAGAAGAAGACCACACTCAACAATTCAAGTCCAATGATGTAATTGAAATCATCCTATAACAATCCACTTAAGAACCCATTATATTTCGGGGGCTTAAATATGCCTCCTTCACCAGGGCTGGAATGTTGGTTTAAATCAAGGGTGGAGTCCAAAGGTGGGAAGGGTACCTAACAATAATATATTGTTGCTAGACAAGTTGCTCAGCAGCTGGTTGCTCTAGATGACCATCATCAGTACAAAGCATGGAATGTGGCCTGCTAACAAAGTATACATCTCAGGGGGTGCAGCATGGAGACATTATCTGCAGTACTGTATGGAAGGATTCCATAAGGTTGATTTACTAAACCAATGCAGAATTTTTACTTAACAAGTCAAAGCTGTGTTCACTTTAGTCATGCACAAGACTGTTCTTTTAATTTCCCTCACACATGACTGGGTACTCAAATTGAATAGAGTTTTACCTTATGCACTAACATAAGTGAATGTTCACATTCCAAAATGAAGATTTTCTACTCCTTTAGTAGATCGATCCTTAAAAACTTGTAAATAAACAAAAGGAAACTTGCGAGGAATTGACATTTAGTAGCACCATCCAAAACAAGGTAAGGGACAATTTGAGGTCCCTTACCTTGATATAAGATATAAGATATAAGAAACCACTTTTTGAGATGAGTATTCAGGATGAATTGAAATACATTGTAATTTACATTAAAAGTGAAAATGTTTATAGGTTTCTTATTCCAGCTCAATATGGTCTGAAAGCGAGAAAGCAACCTTTATGAAAATGTATATTTTTTTTACCTCAAACCATCCATTTCTTCCATATCATCAATAGTTATCATTCCATCTCCAAGGAAAATATACAAGAAGCCATCTGGACCAAACAAGAGTTGTCCTCCCAGGTGTTTTCTGTGTAACTCGGCTACTTCCAGAAATATCCTCTCTGTCCTCACATCAACTTGACTGGGGTTCTTCCTGTTTCCAATGATGGATAAAAACCGCTGAATGCATACAATTTATAATGTTGGCACACTCTTCACACATGTGTCTTTTTTAATATCTGTTGATTTTTAAACTTATATTGACGATAACTATGATAATAATAATGTAGCATGGAAATGTCCATTTGGTCTGCCTTTTTCTCTACCATAATCCTGTTTACAGGCTTCACATCCACTCATTTATCTTGTAGCTATGTTTCTTGTTTTGTAACCTTTTAGAATAAAAAACTTGTGATCCTCCACCCAAAAAAAGAGGGCCTGTCACACAAGTCGCATGGACTTGCACCCCCATACCGCTGTGATCATGGACTGCATACCACTAAGCAATGGGTCATTGAGGCTGGATTCACATCTTACATTGTGCAAATGCGTGCAACTTGATATGTTTTTTTTACAAATTATGTGTGAGTTGATGCTTGTTTAACGTGCATCAATGGGCACTCTTATTTTTTTGCCTGGAAAAATAAATAACTTCTGACTTCTTGTCATATGGTTTAAAATACATTAATATTCATACTTATGGCCTACAAGGTGCATGCTGATGCAATAAAATACACGTGGGCACCGATTTCTCTTAAATACATGTATATCCTAAAGCAGTGTGTACCATATATACATTTTTTTTAAATAAAATACAATATTTCTTTGATTCTTTCAGTGCTGCTTTTATACATCTTCATGTCTATGTGCACTCCAGCAATGGCTGCATGGCACTTCTCAGGGTGGTTTCATGGTGGTGACAGCAATAGACCAGTCCTGCGTAATGTGTATTAAAATTACCACTTGCGGTCTCCAGCAAGAGCCTATGTGGCTTGGGGCATAATCTGTAGAAATGGTCAGAGCGTCGTCACCCTATAACAAAAAATGTCCAGGCAAGGACCTGCGTAGCAGGATCACCAGGTACTATTGTCAAGGAAGCTGTATATTTAATTGCTTTTGAATTTAGTTTACCGTGTAACAACTCATATGAGTTTTCAGTAATTGGATTTACATATACTTCTAAGCAGAACTCCAGACAAATCAAATCTTAACCCTTACAGTGCTTGTTTTGCCTAGGGAGCTAAAATAATTGTACTCACCTGAGCCATGATCCCGGCTTGCTCTTAGTGCGGTCCCTTCAGCCTCGCTCCCCCCCTGCTCCAGGCCCTGTGAGTCCTCACGTTCTATACAGTGTATAGAACATGAGGATGCCGAGGGACATACCATTGCTGGAGGAAGCCATGTAGGAGCCAGCTGGGATCGCAGGTGAATATCTTGGCTCTTTAGACAAAACGAGCACTTAACCCTTGCAGTGCTGGTTTAGCCCCTCTGCAAGGGTCAAGATTTGATTTGCCCGGAGCTCTGCTTTATTGCACAGCAATGTGATTGGGCCTGATCTGCATGATGGTCTGATGTTTACTAAGGTGTCACTGTAGCAGCTGACTGTCCTGCACTGCTGGGAGTCATTTAGATGTGAACAGTTTTTCACTCTTCTTCATAATTAAAAAGTATGCCATTCAGTGTAGTTTGGTAAGTTTCACTTAATCCTTTTTTTTTAAGGGGCAGTAAAAACAAGGATATTTTTTTAAGAATAAAAAAAGGAAAATGAAAATAAAGTCAGCTGGTAAGGCCTCTATTGTAAACTGAAAGAGACCATAAGCATATTTTTTTTCTTTAAAAAAAATCTAGATCTTATCAGAAGTGGGGATGATTAAAATACAGCTAATATTGTGGGGAGAGATATCTTCCTGCACATAGCTGGTTTTCTGACCAGTAATCCTGCAGACCATCAACTGCATCTGGTAAACCTTCAGCCTATAGCTCATCACCTAAAATAAAAGGTTGCACAGTTGCATACAATGTCAAATATTTCGTTTGTGGACAGGTAAGAGCAGCTTGTAGAGGATCTTTTGCTACCTTCAAAAATAATAAGTGGTAGATGTGGTACCTAGACACTGTATATTCCACAACTCGAAGAATGTGATCGTGAGGTCCGCTGGCCCAGCGTTCTTGGTTGGTGGTGTACGACACATACAGCTTTCCATTTTTCTTATAATTGGGATGGAATGCAAGGCCTAGCAGCCCCCTTTCATCTCCTCCCTGCAGTCAAACAAGAAACACAAAGAATTGTAAAGTTAATTATGTGCTTTATTGTGTTTCAGTTGGAACCCCCAAAAAAAAAAAAAGAGTCTCTTTCTTTCTATCGGTTATTCTGTGCCCAATCCTTTCTTTTTCTTTTCCGTGACTACCCGACATAAACAGATTATAAAACATTTCACTTTGGGGACTATTTAAGAGTTTGGACAAGACAATTGTCTGGTGTGGTTATCTAGCTCTCTGGCTCGTATGCTACTTTTGTGCAGTGATTTGTGTGTGTAATCTTTTGGTAGCCATGAAGACAAGTCTAAGTGCTGTGAAGAATTCTTAGCTGGGTTACTAGGTTGCTCATAGTTCCTTGTAGGAAAATCAAGGAAAAAAGAAAAAAAGGTAATAATGTTTAATCCAAATATGCAAAACTGAATGGGAAAAAAAGCAATTGCGATTGCCAAGTTCCACTGTCTTGGCAAAATGTTTTGAAAACATTCGAATTTCTAGTGTAATATGTAAACCTTTGTTTTACCCTGGGGGCAGCTACATCACTTGTCACTACTCTGGTGGTCTTCCCATCATGGCTCACTGTAGGTAATAACCTGCTCTCTCTGACTCCTGCACAGTGTTCAGAGCTGGACAGTGCTCAGTGCTAGCTAAGGCATTTTCTTTACATAAATGGAAGCAAATGAATCAATTCTCATACTGAACGTCTATACAACCCACCGTGCACTACTAATAGAACACATTGGGGGGAATTTGACAAAACTGGAGCAGACAAAATCTGGAGCAGTTGCCCATGGCAATCAATCAGCTTCTCTCTTCAGTCTGTTCAGTTAAGATTTGAAAATGAAAGAGAGAAGCTGATTGGTTGCCATGCACAGCTGCTCCAGATTCCATCTGCTCCAGTTTTGATTAGACATGTGCACTGGCAAAAAATTTGTTTAGTTTCTGATTTTGCGTTATTTCGTTTTTCAGGATTCGGGTCCGAAAGTCAATTCGTTAACGGTAGTCTGTACGAACGTTTGTTTTCTTTTCGTATTCGTTTCATTGCACCAAAGTGACATTAAAAATGTATTATTATTTTTTTAAATGCGTACAGACTACTGCTAACGAATTTCGTCTGGATTTTGGTTTTAGAATATTTGGATTCCTTTTCATTTCGTCATTTCTGTTATTCGGAAATTCAGATACATCCGAATCTCTGAATAATGAAAATTCATCCGAGAAACAAATTTTTCCAAAACGAATCGCACCTGTCTAGTTTTGATAAATTCCACTCATTGACTTTTTCTACTAACAAAACATCTACACCCCAGTTCCACCTAAAATTGACTTAACTGTCTTGGGTGGCGTTCCACATCTCTCTTTTTTAACTACTGATATGATATTTCTCTACGTTCCAGAACAGCTGTGACTGACAGTCCTACTTTTGCCACATGCCGAATACTCCTATGCAGTGCTATATCTTCTTCCTACCTAGACTGTAAGCCTCCAATCTATGCAACATGGAAATGCATGCATTGCTGTATTGAATGAGTATTCACATCCCATCACACTCCTGACCGATGAATCCCAAAGAATCTAAGGTAGGTGCTGCAGTAACCAGCGGATGGTGCCACATTTGAGAACAATAAAAAGAAGAGTCACCGGCACCCCAGCTGTGATACAAGCACAACTTGTATTGACGAATGTTCATATTATCACAAATCAAAATGTTGTTTTGGGGCTGCACAGGGTCTCTTCATCAGGCATACAATGTGCATACTTTGTATGCCTGATGAAAGGACCCTGTGCGGCCCCAAACCTAATTTTGCTTTGTGATAATGTGAACATGCATCAATAAAAGACGTGCTTGTATCACAGTTGGAGTGCTGGTAACTCTTCTTCTCACTGTGCTGCATTTAATGAGATCACGCGTGACACTGCTACACTGTGGTGCCATCTTAATGGAACCCCATTGCACCTAGCCATCGCACGTGCATTGCATTGCACCACAACTCATGGTAACTATTTAAAAAAGGGTCATGCATTTCTTTGGTGCGATTTGGATGTGCCTGTTTAGGGTTGCCTACCACAACGAACATTAACATGCGTAAAAGCATGCTGCAATGTTCGTGCAGTGTCACATCGCACAGTTGTGAACCCAGGGTAAAGGACGGGACAAGGTACGAAAAAAATATTACGTGCCCTCGCTATAGCAATAATTTATACACCGATGGATGACACAAGTAGCTCAGCTGAACAAACTGAGCTAAGCAAATTTAATGATATGGACCTGCTTAGGTCCCAGGTAGGAATGAAGAAGGGTTTGACATAAAGATCTTTACATCAGACCAAAAAGAGGGACACTGAGGGATTTGGGTCCAAATGAAGGACATTCCCTCCAAATGATGGACAGATGGGATTTATGAGTATGCATACCTCTAAAACCTGGAACGGTACCGGATTCCAAATGACAACGGGTTAAGCAGGTAAAAAGAATAGTGTTACAAAGCACCTAGCAATGCTCCTTTCTTTCTAAAATGTTCTTTTTTATATATTTTCAGCATACAAATTCTCATTTAAAATAATTATGATAATTAAACAGTGACTTTGTGTTGGAAACATTTAATAAACAGACACTCCTGAGTCACAGACCCAGGACACTGACTCATGTAATCCATGTCTCCCTAGTAACCCCGCAAGTGAAAATATTTCTTTCCTGGCTAAGCATGCCTTGAAAGCATTTCCAGAATGCATGACACTCAATCCCCTGTTAGTGGAGAAAAAAAAAAAAAAAAGCTCTGGCTCACAAATATTAGAGCCACTGGTGCTTTGATAAGAATCTGGCACCATGTTCTGCTGTAGATTAGAATGGCACGTTCTGTCTAATGAATGCAATAACAAACATCCAAAAAATCCAAAGACTTACATGAGGAGTCAAATACTTCTTGAATGGGATACCACTGGCAGGCTCAGAAGAGACGGTAGGCATTGCCTTTATTTAGAGCATGTAGGCGGAAAGTTAACATTTCGACAATTATATGATGCTTTTGAAATTCTGCTATTATCCAAGACAAGACTCTATAGGAATTCTTTGAAGGTTTCAGCATTTATATGTGGCAAATATATTTTTGTAAAGGAATAGTACAACTAATGCATGCAAGAGTATATTGAGAAATTTAGAAATATATGGATTTATGAAACCTAAAGAGTATCTATGTTCAAAATCTGAAAATAAACATGCATTTTTATATTGAATTTCCATAAGTTCCATCCCACTCCTAATAACCATATCAATCTAGAAGTTTGTAAACGTACTTATTGAAGATGCCCATAAGATGTACTGAGTCACAACTCTCACAAAGCCTGCCTCCTGAACTGCATCTCAAGGTCTAAACAATGTAACAATATCATTGCTTGCCTGCACCAAATCAAGCAGCGGGGAAAGAGATGGAAAGCACCCTGGTTATCCAGGAAGTTGATGAAAGGGGTGGGAACACAGAAGGCAGAACTCACTACATAAAGTAAGATTTCACCTCTGTACAAGCGTGCAGGATAATAATATAAAAGAAAAAATTTTTGTGGCTTTAAATTACATCTACATAAACCATATTAATGAGTAAAGGTGCAATCTCAACCTTAGTCTGAGCTTTCAGTGCATGACTACAAAGCAATAGAATAGTTTTAATGACCGGTAATGCTAATTTCCCTATCTAAAAAAAATATATCTTAAATGTGGCCACATGTTACACTTTAATTGTTCAATCTACCATAGACGGTAGAACAACTTCAGAAAGTTCTGAGTGTATTTCCTTTAGCTAATAATAGGGTGTGTGATATAATATATATATACATATATATATATACATATATATATATTGTATATATATATTATTGTGTGTACCAGAAGTACTGTTTCTCAGTGAGATGTGTGAGGTGTGTATTGGTTCCTGTTGTAATTATTGGAAAATTAGCAATATCTTGGTCTTTGGGCCTTTGGCTCATTTACTGCCCTCAGATGTCTGGGGGCCTCTCACCTCCACCGAGGAAATGGTGGGATACACCAGTGAGTGTACAACGCAGTATGTTTATCTCAACAGTGCATCTATTACTACATATTGACTTTACATGAGTGATAAATGCATATTGTAGGTGCAATGTTAATGTTATGTATAGGCAATCACAGTCCAAACACTACCAATCATGCCTCAACACAATTCTCCTGAACAAGGCATTTTCTACTTTGGTTCTGTCACTTAGAAGGCACTCATCATCCATGGGAATGCATCCCAGGATTTGGCAGCCCCTCTCCACTGAACCAAACAAGAACATGTAGTATCACCGCAGCTTAAATGATCCAAAAATGATTAATTATATAAAAACATATATAAATACATAAAGCATCTGTTTCCAAGGCAAATCAGAGAATGTTACTACTTCTCAGCTCAGGCTTTCCCATTCAGACTCATCAACCAGCCGTGGACACTTTCAAAATACTGAATTTCCTGCTATTTTAACTGGATGAACAATCAGTAAAAATGGCCCATTGCTCTTGCCAAACGGAAGACAAGGATAAACGTGACTTCATTTGTTTTTGTTTTAATTCAAACCTTTATTTGTACAAAGATTTGTTTCTACAAACTGTGACTAATGAAATGGTCATGCAGCTAAAAGAATTATCCTCACGTCATTATAATGAAACATAAATCCAGTAACCCCGACTTGTAACTTGCTAGTCTTTGGATTTGCTACTGACATTCTATATTTGTTACAATAAATCTAAATAAGAACTCAAACTGACCTTCCTTGAGAACAAACATTAAACAGTTTAGAAGGCTAAGTACTCCCTTTCCTGATTGTGCTTTAGACCACCAAGAAACAATCATACATTTTAAGATATATGAGGTTTCTATCACGTTTCTGCCCCTGCGGAGTTCTGCAACAGATTGTTTTGACTCCAGGGTCAGAAGACAAAAATACTGCACACAACAGAGATAAACTGCATTGTTTTTTTTTTTCCTACAAAC